TGGCTGATGCTCATTTATGAGTCTTTTAATATATTTTGAACTGACTTGCATTTTATTTTCTCTAGTGATCTGCTTTAAAATTACTAGAAAGAATAATGGTTTAAGATTATTAGTACCTAATTAATAGGTGCCTGGGGCTACCAAAGCGAATTTCGGTTATTTATAAAAGCATTATTTTCCATTATTTCTACTTTATCTTGCTAAGACAGTTAGGTACCTACTTAGGCATCGCATAGTTGAATAAGTCAAAATCAACGAATTATAATCACATTACCGGCAGCTTTTTCTGTTTGACCTGTTGCCAACAACCACCTTGGAGATTCTGGGACCCAAAACCAGTAGAATATGAATAATGAGGAAAGTGCCCCTAATGCGAATTCAAGTTTCCTCCAGTCTCTCAGCCAGTAAGCTAGACCGGCCATTATTGCATTTCCAATACCAAAAGGCAATTGATAAATCACTGGTATTATAGTTCGCCACTTGCCACTTACTACCTAAAATTTACAAAAAAATACTTCTAATAATAGATGCATGCATGAATGTTACAGAAACTAAAGAAGATACTAATTTCTAGCTATTTTTTGGGACAAAGGCGTGATTGTGAAATATGCATGTAAATTTTATAAAATCAGAGTAATATTCACCTCCATACTTATAACAAAAGATATAATTCCGACTCCACCAGACGCTAACGCTAAAATAAACCAGTTTATCAGAAATATTGAGTACCATGGCAGTATACTGGCAATAGAACTACTGACACCCTGTATTACTATTCCGATCATAAGAGGCAATTGTCGACCGTATTTGTCAGCCCAAATCCCGAATACTATACCTCCTAACACAATACCCCACATCATCACGCATTGACACATCTGAAAAGACATTTTTATATTTAAAAAATATGGACAAGCAGGTTTCGAAATACAGCGTAATTCTGTACCATCCATTATATTAGGTACGCTACGTACGTCAGAATTACTTACATGAGTAAGCCAGTGTTTTGAGCACACCAAATTCCAATCAGATGTTATGGTACGTTTAAACACACTTGTATCATATACAAATTTTTTACAAGGTACTAGAGGTATCAGAGTTTTATCCATAAATGGATCAATTGCTAATAAATCTGGATCAAATATTAAACAAGGGTGTTCTTCTACATGCTGAAACAGAAACGATAGTTTATCCCGCATATCTATTCTAGTAGGTATGTAACTTTGGGCTCGCTGCCATTGCAGCGGTAAGTCCCCTCTTCGAGGAGTGGCTTGAGAGACTCTATGGCGTCCTCACCTACCGCCTGACGCAGGTCCTCACTGTGCATGGAAGTTTCGGCGCGTAGCGAAATGCCCTGCGTGAGCTGAGCACAGCCTTGCTCTCAGGGACATAATCGGCGATGGCGACCTCTCGCATCCGGCCCTAGTGCGGGTGTCCTCTTTTTGCTAAGCAGTCGTGCTAGCTAAGGAGGGGGAGGGGCGCGTGAGGCAGCGAAGCGCTGCCTCCTCGCAACCCAGCCATCCCGGAGGACACTCCGGGCGTCGGGGATCGCGGAACGATCTCCGGCCACCGTAAGCGCGGGTCTGCTTTAAGAACCAGACCCGAGCGCGTGGCGCGTCGCGTTCCGTGCGCGCCCAAAGAGCCACCATACCACCACGGATGGGGCCCAATTGGGTTAATGCCGATACGGCGCCGCGGAGAACCTAACAGGTTACCGGGGCTCCGGCTCGAAGTGCATGAGTAGGAACGGGATGGTTTTTAGTCAATGAGAGTCTGACACTCCCTCCCGCGCTACCCAGGCGGGAGCAGTAATTCGATGATTTTCCCCCCTTAAAAAAAACTGACTACTGACTGACTAATACTACTGACTACTGACTAAAAACCACCTATATTTTTTCTTACCACATCATCGAATTCTTATTACATCATCGAAAAATGTACAATGAAAATGTCGTATATTATCTGCCACAGACATATTAGATCTATGTTATCTACATGGGTACATTAAAGCCTAAAGGTGGGCCCTTTAATGTACCCACTCAACTGGGGGAAGTACCTAGGTACTTACCTCCTCATAATTTAAATGCACCTTCATCCGCGAATGGTCGGCAACGCACTCCTGACGCGTCGTCAATGACCTACCTACATAAACTAAAGTCGGCCTTTTCTTTTTTAAAAATGACTTACTGGCACACTGAGTCTTCTCCATTCTTCATCACTATATTTAGAAAAAGGCAGTGGTTTGGAGCACCAGAAAATTTGAGGTGGCGCCATAAATATTATGTTTAATTGATACCAAGCTATAGGTAATTTTAAGAGCGCCATTAATATACTGATTTTCAGTTGCCATCTTCCGAAATCACCGATTATGGAACTCGTAACATCCTCGTTTTTTTGTACAGATTGAGTTATCATAGCCAAAGGTTCTGAAATGTATTAGGGAGGCACCAGACTTACATAACGTGATTTACATATAAAGTTGGCTTATTTATCCAAATAAATAAATATTCCGTCTACAAACATCTTTTGTTACTGAGTCACTAACTGACTGACAGACAGAGAACGCACAGCCGAAACTACCTATTGGACATGAATGTTCTTTGGGGAGTGTCGGGGAGCACTAAGAGACGATTTTCCTAAATTCTCCCAGGTTGTACGTGTACTAAGTCGCGGGCAGAAATTAGTATTAAATAAACATTTTTTGTTTTGGTAGATAAGTAAACTACCTACTACTAACGTGTACCTATCATTTGATACTTACTCCTGAAACCTTTCCAAATGGGCCCAATCTGAAGGCATTTACTATTAGTATCATTTACAGTGCCATAGCTAAACATGTCGACAGTGTGTTCGTCTTTATACAAATCTCTGTAAATCATAACAAAAATATTTTGTTTTTAACTATTTCTATTGATGAATTCAAGTTACGAAAAAACTAAAACTCAAACACTTTTCTGTGAAAATTAGAAAATGACATTTCGTTGTCAATGAACGAACTCTTTGCATCAACGTATCAATTTATAAATCTATGATCAACTGGCATCAACCCTTCGTCGATAAAAATTGACTTACCGTACAAGAACCGTAGACACTCCCAATGAGAATTGGACTTTTCAGATTTAATTGGGGGTACGGTCAACAATTCTTAACCAACTCTAACCAACCGATTTCTGCTCCATGGAAGGACTGGGTAGGGTTTCAAAGAATTGTTTATGATAAAAAGATGAAGTTTATACCTAATAAGCTAGAGACCGGATAATATGCATTTGCATATTTGCATATGCATTTGCATATTTAAGCGATTTTCAAGGCTAATAGCATATTTTTACTAATATCTAGTGATGATGCATATTATTGCTACCTAATTTACAGTAGGTAGGTATTTTTCGAGCGTAGCGCACTCGGCAGCCGCGCGTATTTTGTTTTGGTAGGTACTCAAAAAATGAAAGAGACAAATGATCGCGCCGCCGCGCGCTCGCCTACCGCGCTACTCCCACCTATTATGCATATCATTATTACTTTGATTGTTGACACGCTCGTGCTCGGATAATTCACCTGCAGTTAAAAGTTTTTATGTGTGTACAATGCCTCCCGAAAAAAAAGTTTGTCTTCGTGGATAAGTGAATTTCCTGGAACATTTACTTACGACGGAAATGTTTTATATTGTCGAGTTTGCGAGAAAAAAAATATAAAACTGAATAGTTTTTTTATTTTATCAAATAACAATAAATTAAAAAGATACATACATAATAAAGTAAAACATAAATAAGACAAGTATTTACTAACAAAATACTTAAATCTAAAGGAATAATATTTAAAAAACAAAAAAAAACTCAACTCAAAAAACTTTAATGTTGCATATTCTGTCAAAAAAAAAACATATTTTAGGCATTTTTCATGCATATTTGCATGCATATTTCAAGCTTTTTATGTTGCATATTATCCGGTCTCTACTAATAACGTAGGTAAGTATTTAACTCGTCGAGTACCGGTTTTGTAGACACAATTATAGAACAATAGGTTGCGGTCACCGGTGACCGCTTGGTGTTTGACAGTTTAATAGAATAGATTTCTAGTTTTCAACAAGACCTCCTCGTTGGTTTTTTTTTAATTGCGCTCTTGTGCGATATTAGGATAATACCATCTGGTAATAGTAAACAGATAGAATAGAAGAGAAAGATACTTGTACCTATATACATACCTAGATACATATATGTCCATAAGACCAAAAGATTTTCGAAATTCATTTCTTAGTTTACTTAAGCTACTAATTGTTCGGAAAGTCGTAAACAAACAAAAAGACGTTACGTATGGTCCACAGACGTATAAGATGGCCGCATGGTACAGATTACCGAGTACTACTGTACTGGCTACAGAGTAAAGGCACGAGCATCATTTCACCTGATTTCAGTAGGTACTTAATGTAAATATGAACCAATGAACGCATACATACATTAGTTTCAGTTACAGTGTCGAGAATATCATCGACAAATGCCTAAAATATTGTTGTGCTGTATCTGGAACGCTCAACTAATCTGTGTTCACTATTTTTATGGTTCCGCAAGAAAGGTAACAAAACCTTTTTTGAAATATTTTGTTAGTCGTTAAAAACTGTTTAATACAAAATATCTACAACAGGAAATATATCGCCTTATTTTCTATTTGGATCAAAAACTGAAGTAGATAAATATTTATAATAGAAATTAATCGAGTTTATGAATATTAGGTATACGGAACTCGGACGGTGTTACCATAAACGATCTTGTCATATTTTTCATATCATCACGTCTGGCTGCTGTCAATGGTTGTTCGAAAAATTTGCGATATTTGTGGTTGATGAATGAGAAATGGAATTTAAATTTATTTAGTCCTAATCGTTTTCATAGATAATTACAGTATTTTACATTGGATGTTCAAGTGCATAAGTGGTAAACCATGCCTTTGGCTAACACCTCAGATCCTTGGCGAATGCAGAATGTTGGAGATAACACGGTATATTTAGAGTTTGTTTGCGTAGCTAATTATGTTTCATGTTATTTTCTAATCATCACGTCTACTTTTTACGTATTCTCATGATTCAAACAGGGTCACGGATATAAAATCACGAACTTACGATTTTCTTGAGATAATCTGCTTATTACGCCCACTTAGTCAGGAATTAATTGCACGACATTAATTGTCTAGACATTCCGTTAATTGAGTATTAATGTGGGAATCAGTTCTAATATTTCTACTAAAAATCACTTCAGGAAAATATAAAATCATGTTAGTGCCAAACCACCTTACAAGGAAAAGTGATATGATACAATGTATAGTGTTTGTGAATATCCATGATTCATTTATTTTAATAATTAATTACGAGTTACGGTTCATAGAATCAAGATGTACAATGTTGTAGAATATAAATAATATTGTGTGAAGTGTTGATTCTAGTGTGAATTCCCAATTAAATTATTGTTTTTAAATAATTTTTCTAATGAATTTGTTAATTAACATTTCCAAAATGAAACAGGTATATATATAGAACTAAAAGTTTGTTGTGTTATAATAAAAATAATGTAAATATTGTGTCAAAATACTAAACAATTTGATTAATAGTTTCACTTGGAACACTTTATTTAAATGTGGAACTATTTAAAGAATATTTATTCTTATTGGATTGTAATCTATATTGATGTTTTGCCATTTATAATCCTATGGATATCTTGTTTACATAATTTTGCATGTTGCTTATATTATTCAACAATAAAGGTGTGATGTGTATGCAGTGTGTCACTGTAAATTTTGTTAATGTCTAAAACAAATTGATACAATATGCATTGTAAACCTCTAAATTATGTTTTAGCTTGGTACATCTGCTCAGCCAGCCAATAGTCTTCCAATTGTGGTTGAAAACTCAGCCGAGTCTCGCCAGGCGTCTACAACTGAGAGCTTAGATACAAATGTAGACATTAGTGAAGAAAGGGAGGTAGAAATACAAGATGTAGTTAAAGAAGGACATGATAAGGCAGACCCCTCACAATTTGAATTGCTCAAAGTTCTTGGTGAAGGTTCCTTCGGAAAAGTATTTTTAGTACGAAAAGTCACTGGTGCTGATGCTGGTACTCTATATGCCATGAAGGTAATATACACACTACCTGTTTAGTATTTATTTACTCATAAGACTAACAAACTTGTAAAATTATAATATTGTCTTTTAGGTACTTAAAAAAGCTACATTAAAAGTAAGAGACAGAGAACGTACAAAAATGGAGAGAAATATTCTAGTTGAAATGGGCCATCCATTTATTGTTAAGTTGCATTATGCTTTTCAAACAGCTGGAAAATTATATTTAATACTGGACTTCCTGCGTGGTGGAGATTTGTTTTCACGACTCAGTAAAGAGGTGAGTTCTAATAGCTGTAATAGTCCATGAATATTTATATGGAAGTTATACATAAATCATGAGACAGCATGCTGTGGTGCCATAATGGATGTAATGAATTTAGCTCACTGCACATTTTATTTACTTCTAGGTAATGTTTACTGAGGAGGATGTTAAATTTTACCTAGCTGAACTAGCATTAGCTTTAGAACATGTACACAAGTTGGGAATAATATACAGGGATCTGAAACCAGAAAACATTTTATTAGATGCTGATGGCCATATAGCACTTACAGACTTTGGGTTATCAAAACTCCCTCCAACTAGTGATAAAGCCTATAGCTTCTGTGGCACTGTGGAATACATGGCTCCAGAGGTGGTTAACAGGAGAGGACACACATTTGCAGCAGATTGGTGGTCCTTCGGTGTACTTATGGTATGTTGTGAAAAATATCTAATTGATAACTAATTAAAACAGTTCCAAGGTCTTTACAATACTTTTCTTCCAGTTTGAAATGCTGACAGGTAACCTACCTTTCCATGGCTCGACACGACATGAAACTATGACACAGATATTAAAAGCGAAACTTGGAATGCCCTCTAACCTTAGTGAAGAGGCGCAGTCTCTTTTGAGAGCTTTATTCAAAAGAAACCCACAGAACAGGTAAGCTTATACATAGGTATTTCAACTATTTATAAACTGTTGGTATCAGAGACTAGTTTCGTCTGACATTTGTTTTTTTTTTCTAGATTGGGAGCCGGTGCTAATGGCATTGAAGATATAAAGAGTCATGAGTTCTTTGCAAGTATAGATTGGGATGCTTTGTATAGGAAAGAGGTATGTTATGTTTACTCGAAAAGTAGTGAACGAAAAGCAATGTTACATATTATACATTGCTTTTTATACCTTTTGCTAACTACTCACGTAATGTTTTATAGCCTTCCGCGATATGGACTTTCCAACACAAAAAGAAGTTTTCAAAAGCGTACCTGGGGCCTTACTCTTGAATCCAATTCCGATCGATCGACATTGGTATTGTGAAATTTCGTACTCTTGAGTTGCAATACTAGCGCCCATTGCATCTGTATCGCGTGGATATTGAATGGACAAAATGGTATTGAGTTTAGGTTTATATTCCGTACTCGTGAATGCTACTTTATCAGCTACGATAGGGGTTGTGTAGTTTTGACATTGAATCATTATTGAGATTTTATTGGATTGAAATTGCATTGACATTGAGATTGACTTCAAGAGTAAGCTCCCTGTAGTTCCCAAGATTAGGGCGTTGAAATAAAAAACTCTCTAACTTTATGTAATAGTATACAAGATAATTATTCATAGAATTTGTGTCAAATGTATTCTTGTAGGTATAAGTTGTCTTCTGTATAAGTTAAGGAAATATCAAATTAAAAAGATGGCAAATTAACATATCTAATCCGTTTAGTAATCAAAGATTTAGAATTATTAACCTTTGTCTGCATCGTCGATTATATTTATCCGCCTCAATGTCGCACTCGACGTTTTCCTTCGTATTTTTTATGTGAAACCATTTTAAATGTTTTTAATTGCGTACCTACCTATTCTATTTTAGTTTGCAAAACGACACTTCACGTGCTTGATTGCTATTTTCCTAGATTCATGCAATTATTTTCTAATCTATATCAGTCTGCTTTTTTTGTATCTAATAAATTCGAATTTACCGATATGGAGAGAGTTCCTGGAATTTTCAAAAAAAAAAAATTATTATTACCAACATGGAACTCATAATATAACTGGTGAAAAGTGTGTGGTAAGGAGGCCATAAAGGCTAGGTTTTGCATGATGGTTATAACTTTGCCTGCAAAACCGGCAAGCATAACCGAGTTTCATACCACACATACGTTAGGTTATGCATGTACATGCCCCGATAACTGTACAGTTTAGTCACATACACGCTAGGTCTTGCCTGTCGGTTATGCATACACGGCTAAAACCATCATGCAAAACCATGCGTGTATGGCCTCCTGTACATTGGAAATCGTTGGGCTTTTCATAAATTGTCAAATTCGACCTTTTGAAGTGAGGTCAATCGCATTCTTGCCCGTCATTAGTCAAGATCATTCTCACAACCAATGACATAAGGGTATAATCTGGGTGTCTTCAAGGCCCGAGTGAATAAGTTGCTTATGGGACGGCGTGCTTCATTAGCGACCGCATCATCGCTTCCAATCAGACGAGATAGTAGTCAAACTACGGGCCATCAAGGATACAAAAAAACATGGTGGACCGCGATTAAGTTCCCTTCAATCTTTCGAATTGAAAGTTACAGAATAGCTTAGTTATACCTCTGCCTACTCCCTAACGGATTAAAAGGAATGACATCACTAGGGGAGCATTAGACATAGAGTTCGCTCTAAATTAATGTGTCTCGATCTCACAGACCGCAAAATTAATGTACCGGTGGTTAACACAAAGCGTACTGTGGAATTGACGTTATGAAAGCGATTGTGATTGATGAGCGGGTTACGGCCACACTCCACAGGCCAAATTAATTAAAAAACGGTCCACGCGATAATAAAAATATAGATATACCTACCTAATATAGATAGGTACAAATGACGGTTCCAAAGTATTATTTTACCAAACACGTCTATTTACAAACTTTATCTACAGCCACTTTTCACTATATATTTTTAGTAATTGCGGCGCCAGTTTTGACGGTCTCTTCAAATCTAAAAAAATATTATTGTCGATAAGCTTTAAGATGATCATTAATAAGTCCCATGCAATAGGAGACTTACTTGTTGCCATACATTCAGTTATTCATTCATATCCTCACGTTTTTCTCCCATGGGGTGAAAGGCAATGAAACGCCAATTGCTACACATCGGGTGCAAAATCTGATTCTGTGTTTTTACTGATAAATTGAAGAAGTTCCATTCATAGTCAGTTATATCCATATTTTGCCCGACACATAAGTCCAACCCTTTTATCAGAAGTTGCTATTTCTAACTCTACCAACAATAGTCATCATGACTTACATTCAGCGGTATTTATAGATTTCTTTGTTATTGAAATAAAAATCACTTCTCTAGGTGGTGCCCCCATTTAGGCCGGCAGTATCTAGGGCCGATGACGCATTCTACTTTGACTCAGAGTTTACATGTCGCACGCCCCGAGACTCACCCGGTGTTCCGGCTTCCGCGAATGCACATGAACTATTCCGGTAAGATAATAAATGAATATTATTTGTTACTTATGTATTTCATTCTTTATTTACTCAAGCACATAATTTTGCCTAAGTAATGAGTTCTAAAGATCAGCTCCAGAAAGGTTAACGAAGGTAAGATCGGTCTTGTTGGTAAATTAGCTTGATCTATATCTATTTATTAATAGGTACCGTACCACTTGAAAAGTGGTTGTTTCTAAAGGTTATTTATTATGTTCCAACTAGGTATGTATTTATTATTTTTATATATCTCTACGGTCTTTCCGAAGTTTACAAATATATGAAAAAGCTTGAGTATAAATACTGCCCCAGAGGCCAGAACTAATTATAAGATGCTGCTATAAAGCCATTTCCGTTCTGTTCCTTAGTAATAATGTGTCTAATACAATATGCATAGTCATTTTTACGACACTCAATTGCATAAATAAGGTAATACAGGTAATTTATCACATCCGATTGTTTAATGATAAGATAAACGCACTTGTCTTTTAACCTTCGCACAAAACAAATACAATAAAATCGTTTATGTGTATTTCTGTGTATGGTTTCAGCGGTTTCAGTTTCGTCGCGCCTTGTTTACTCAACGATGATAACAAGACGGTTACGAATCAAAATCAAAACCATGTTCCTACGAATAATAAAACGTCCACTGAAGAATTTTGGGCTGGTTTCGTCAATAGGAATAATTTCTTCGACGAATACAGGTAGGTGGATTAACTAACATAATTAATCGAACAGGAAAAACTAATGTTATAAATATAAGTACTAATAAGGTATGGTGATTAAATATCCAATGGTACCTATATGTAAGACTGATCTAATGAATGCCGGCTATGACCTGCATCTAAATATACTTGCCATATTCAATATCTATTGACGACACTCGAAACGAAACCTAGTTCCAATTGTATAAATTATATTGTAGCATTATTGTAATCTGATCGTAGCATCAAAATAATTTATACATAAGACACAATTCCCGACTCAGTGTTACTGTGTTACTACTAAGAGCTATCGAAAACAAGGCATATACTGAGTTGAATGAAATTATAATGAAAACCTATTCGTAAAGGAAAATATCTTGGTATGTTTCAGATTAATGGGAGAGTTAGGCACAGGATCGTTTTCAGTCGTTCGCCTCTGTGAACACAAAACCTCAAGGGTGCAGTATGCTGTCAAGATTATGGACAAATTGCAGTATGATCCTCGTGAAGAAATTGAGATACTGTTAAGGTTTGTGCAAAAAGCATGAATTTTCATTAGATTAGTCCGTTTTCTGAACGTTGACCCCTTCTATAGCGCGCCAGTTCACGACACAGAGGTCGATCTTCGGCTGCTCACATCCAATCTAATCCAATCACAGCCAATAATTTTGTTGATATCGTTCAGTATTATATTAAATTACTAGAAATATAATTTTATACATTGATTTGCAGTACGTTGATGGCAATTAGGTAACACGTAACCAGTTGATATTTCAATCCACTGATTGAGCTATACACACGCGTAATATAAAAACTGAAATTACTTGAAGAAAAATAAACTGTAAAATTGCGGGCATAGAACTCCTTTTGTCAATATAAACATTGGCTTTGATTTTACGTATAAACGCAATGCAATAAAATGTTTTATCGATAAAACATAATCTAATGACCTACGGCTCAAACTTCGCGGTCGTAGAAGCCGTACAATCGTGCAATATCAGGTCAATGTGCAAACGGTAATCAATAAAGAAACGTTCTTGCATTAATTTTATATATTGATACTATTGTTTAGTATTAGTTATTACTAGTTTGACTTCTAGTTAATTTAGACATAAGTACATCGTTATTAAACTTAATAAAAACAAAAGACATTGTCTTTACAACTGCAACTATTTCGTTATGTAGGTAATGTATAGTTGGAACTTAAACTTAGTTTATGAATATTTTGGTAACTTAACATTAAATTAAATATAGTTCTAGTTATAATTGACAATTAATATGCCTCCCTGCTTGTAAAGGATCAATTTTGTTATTGGCGATTCTATCTCATTTAAGCGTGTAGGAAACGTTTCAATCAATAGGCTAATCAACAAACCGTATCTGTTCTCTCTCTTAAACTAGAGTAAAAATTACTTTTTGTTGTAATGTAGAATGGCAATGTATATTGTACTTTACACTTTGGCTCTTACACACACACATCAATTAATCCAATGCTGGACAACGGATGTTCTCTAGATTAGAGGATTTACGACCGATATCAATAATAGGTATATTTGAATCCTATAATAATTGACAGAGTCAAAGGTGTCTCTGTTAGTTGTAAGGACAACTAATGTAAATAAAATATCTATATCCACGGATATTGGATTGAATTAGGTTATTCATTTAGGCTTGTCTTCATACTTGGCATTTGAAGATCGCAATTCAAATTGTTCAAGTTTATCAAAAAACTTTCCGATCTCTGTTATAAACCTTTTTTTTAATGGGGGGAAATCCTCATGGACTGCCTCCGCCTGGAACAGGCGGCGGAGTGTGCCGGACTCTTACCAGCTAAAACTACCCCAGTGTCTTCTCGCACGCGCGCGCGGGTCCAGGGGAGTCCAAATTTATCCGCTGCCCCGCATATCTCTGTTATAAACCTAGCCTAACTAACAATTTTTTTATATTATCCAGATACAGCCAACATCCGCACATAATAACTCTGCGCGGTGTCTACGAGGAGGGTGGTCGGATCCTGGCAGTGACGGAGCTCTGTCGCGGCGGGGAACTACTCGAGCACATCACACAACGTCGCTACTTGCCAGAACATGAGGCTGCACCTATATTGAGGAATGTCCTCCACGCTATACACTATCTTCATAGACACACTGTTGTGCATAGGTAAGGGATTTACGACCAGTTTATTTATCATCATTACAAATATCCATTGCTGTCAATAAAAGGATTCCTCATATAGATAGTTTGCAATAAAACTCACGCTTAGCCCACCAAGCATGGAGACTAGCAATTGTAGTGACAAATATAATAGACGTTGGTGATCGTCCTTAGATCACTGAAACATCAATAAAATCATTCTAACCTGCCCATCTCTTAGTAGCTGATAGTAGTAATTTTAAACTATTGTTTTATCACTCACTAGGAGCCACTGGTACTACTTTAGCCATTGGATATTGACGTAAACATATTGGATAATATCCAAGATGCAACAATTTTCAGTTTACCTACCGACCTTATTAATATAGTTATACCATAAAAAGTATTTAAGTACCACAGACAAAGGCTTTATAAGTTAGTTATTAATGGTGATATTATAATTTCCAGAGACATAAAACCTTCGAACATATTGTTTGCAACTGCAGAAAAGAGGCCTGAGGACATTCGTCTCGTAGACTTTGGTTTGGCGAAACAGTTGCGCGCTGAAAACGGCCTACTTATGACACCATGTTATACTGCTAATTTCGTTGCTCCCGAGGTGCTAAAACGTGCTGGTTATGATGCCGCTTGTGATATATGGAGTTTAGGTACGTTCAAATATGTAATTTAAGTCCTTTGTTTTAGAGTGATAAATTGTTTGACTCATTTAAAATACTTAAGACTTTCTACTTATGTAGCTCATCTAAATTACAATTTGCCTCGTATACAGCAACACTAATTATCTCGTGTTTGGAATTAGTTCAAAGTTTAACCTCATTATCATAATTATCTACAAAGTAATGGTTGGTACTTGGTAGTGACCCACACTCCAAGGTTATCAAAGAGTAATTAATGGAAGTGCATGCCAGTTTCGTGTGAAAAAGTCTAACTTTAATTTGCTGTTGTAGTAAAATGAACCGTATTACAATGGAATAAAGAACATTTTTGTAAGGGGCATATACTTTAACATATGTCCTTTTATGTATTACAGGTGTGCTAGCGTATATAATGCTGTCGGGAAGGACACCATTTGCTTCAACTGGAGATGATACACCTGAAGCGATTTTAGCGAGAATCGAATCTGGAAAGGTGAGAAAATTTAAATGTCCGGTGCACTCGTACACCTATAACTGTGAATCGTACACCTATAAAATACAAATAATTGTGAATAATACAATAGTATGGTTTTACTATGGGTAGATATAGGCCGACTATTTCATTCTCCCCACCATCGCCTCCGTGGCGCAATTGGCTAGCGCGTTCGGCTGTTAACCGAAAGGTTGGTGGTTCGAGCCCACCCGGGGGCGTTTCTTTTTGCTGATTTTTTGTAATATTTTTATTGTTAATTTTATTTGTGTATTGATATTTTTTCTATTTTTTTTTTATATTTTTCAAAATCATTTTTTATTGACATTTAAACTTCCTTCACTTGTGAAGTTCGGAACACAGATCTACGCGAGACAATGTAGTTTCTTTTCTACTGCGTTTCATATATCGACAGACAAGAGGTTAAGATTATACAGCTGGGCTGACGGACTTCGTTTTATCTTTATATAATTTTTCCATTCATATCCTAATATTATCATGTCATGAATTTAAAATTAGCGCCCGATTTCACCTGGTTGCTGTTTTCCAACACTTCTAAAAAAAGCTTCGGTTTTTTTCTTATCTTATAACGAATAAGACAACAAAAAAATTATTCATTTTTTTCGAGTAGTTTTGGAGTTATGCACGCAAAGACGCACACGCACATACATTCTTAATTAAACAGAATGTTGTGTAAGGTCTTAGCACTATGTTTTAATAATTTTTAAAGTATTTATATCTTTAATAATCGATAACTCACTCAATTTTGACACATTTTATAGTAAGCAAATCTAATGATAGATAGATGAATGAAACCGTAAATCAACTGTGTCAGGTGGAACTATCAACTGGAGTATGGCGTCACGTATCAGCGGAGGCGCGGGGCTGCGTACGTCGCATGCTGCAACTAGAGCCGGCGCAGAGGCCGCGCGCCGCCGAGCTAGTCCGAGAGCCGTGGATCACTGCACCACACCCACCGCAACCAGCCGCCCACCCGGCGCCTGATACAGACCCACCCAGCGACCTGCGACGAGCTGTCGATCTTACCTTCCAGGTATGTTATGTCTTCTAGTAATATCAGATAGGTAGAATTAAGACTTATGGAGAGGCGGCTGATAGTCCAGCAGACTTTAAAGTATAACTCTATTCTCCAACGCTCCGGATCATAAGAGAGCTACAGATACTTGTGAGCTGTAATACGTATATATATTAATCATCTACCAGGCGATTATTCGGCAAGAAATAAAAATTTACTTGTTTGTGATAATCTCTTTCTAGGCAATGACAGCTTCGCCACTGACACCCCAAGTTCTGGGTCCTGTGTCACAATCAACTCTCGCGCAACGTCGTAGTAAACCACAGCGACGTTTCCCACCAACACAACTTTAAAATAAAAATCTTCAATCAAGTGGTGAATATCAAGAAATCAATACTGGGTACATTACGAATGATAATGTAAGTACATGTTATAAAGCACAATCAACTGCACAGGATCGCGATGACAGGTTTTGGGAGTCTACAAAACTTATAAGACTCAATTAAATGCCAAAACCAAATAATTGAATCGAAAGTAAATAAAGTATTAACCGTCTGCACTGTTACATGTTTTTGTTTCGACTGCTTTTATGACTGCTAGTATTATGCAGACAAACGAATGTGATTGTAAAAGAGTATTTTATTTTATGCATTGCATTGTCATCAAGGACAGCATCATTTATAGTTAACGACATTCCATATAATGTCACAATTAGTTTAGTTGGTGTTGTGTATAACGTAATCCTATATTGTTTTATGAGCGATATTTTTCTATTAGGTGTATTATACGATAAATGATTATTATATTATTAAACGTCAAATCAGCTGCATTTAAAACAATGTGCGTTAAAGAGCTTTACCGTCATGACCAATGAAAGTCGTCTTCCTGCAAAGTATTTATTGTAGATGGCAGGTGTTACGGCTTAATATAATAAATATTACTTGCCCACCTGTACAGCCGCGGACTAAAAAATATATTATTTATTAATGTCGCAGTATGGAATAGAGTAGTAGATATCTGATCAAACATTTTTATCTTATTATTATTAGTAATCTTAGCCCCAACGTTTATTCTATGTATGTAGTGAATTTGTTCATGTTCTAAAACTTATTCGCTTTTTACATTGCATACAATTTATTTTTATACTTCTCTGTGCCATTTAGTTTTCATTGCTGTATGTGCAATATTATCTTTGTAAACTTCATTAAACGTGTTAGCTACAACTACATATATTTATTTGATGGTGCGTCGTGTTGTATAAGTATTCTTCATAATAATTCTTTCGATACTCATAGTCATTAGTCGTCTCAAACGTATTTTATTTCGATGTTGTTCTTATAACAGAAAGTTGTTTATATTTTTGTAAGACAGTATTTTTTGTATGTCCGATTTAATTATAGAAATTAAACGATTATATTTATAAACAAAACGTAAAAAGACAGCGACTACACGTAGTACTTCCATCTTTTTACAACCAGAGAAACTTGAATATTTTGTATACTTCTTGCAAACATGCGTGAATAAAAAAAAATCAATGATAATATTTGTATGACAATCTTATATTTTGTTGGTTTTAATGTTAATTCATTATCGTGTCGTCTCTATTCATTTTATCATATCTGTATTTCATCACCTAACAGTTTTCTCTTGACCCCTCTTCTTTTATTATTTTGAACAAAACCAATATTAATTTATTTTGTATGGGTGATGTTATACTCGTAATCATTTCATATCAGTAAGGCCTAACTTAAAGCATAATTCATTTCAATTACCTTCACTCTAGTTCTAGACTTTGTAGTGTCACCTAGTATTTTAGAATAAGTAATTATATTATTATTATTATTATATACAATTATTTCATTGTTCTTTGTGTTAAAAGAGTGTAGATTTAAGTATGTAGGTAATAATTCATACTTTTTAACTTCATTTTATTGTAATCGCCCCAAATTAACTGTGCCATTCCCCTATGCTTTACTTCCTATTTATGGATGACGTAAAATCGCTTTAAATCATACTTAATTGGATATTTTAAAAATGTGACCTGTATACGACCATTCTATTTATATTTTAATGTAATATAATATGGACGTCAATCCCAAATCAATTATAATTCCGCTGTTCTTCCAATTTGTGAATTTTTATTTTATTTTTGTATATCTATTCTAATATGGTGGTATGCTGACTGTCGTTCTACTTGACATAGCAGTTTCTTTTATTGGTTTCCTGTAGATTGAGCAGTGAATACCCAATGCCAAACTATTGAATAATAACTACCAATGTAAGATAATTATACTATCTTTATTAACATTATTTGCATGTAACTATCTACTTACGTAACTACTTATGCAAGTATGTGTTGTTTCCATTCTAAGGTGGCTGTCATCTACATCCATATATTTTTATACATATTTTTATTTTTACTACACATATTAAAAGAATATATTATATAATATGGTGATTGGTTATCTACCAAAGATTAGGAGATTTTATTCTTAACATTTTAATCTAACATAGTAAAAAATCTTGGAAGAACTTAGATTGTGTAGTTTTATCTTTATTATAGATCAATAAGATGTATTTAGCATAATAATTGAAGTACATTGCAACACTTAGTAGTTTAGTATTTACCAAAATCAGTTTGAAATGTTTCTAACCATTGACGTAAACAACAATTACATATTTGATTATGATAAATATTACGATTGCTCAGTGTTGCTCGTTTTACCAAAATTGTATGTAATTCTTTTACCACAGTTTTATCAACTGAAGGAATTGATATTGAATAAAATATAAATCTAAATAAGTATATTTAAATTAAGATTTTAAGAATTTATAACATAATATGTCCTAACAATTTCAGCATCTAACATATCTGGATTCTACTCGAAATGTGCATGTAAATTGTAAAATGGGTGCAGTATACATTATTACTATGTGATCTAATAGGTAGGAAAAAAATTTAAAAAAATCTGACCGTTTTGTTGTCCCTGAGTCATAGTTGCCTGAACTTTTACAGTAACTTATAATAGAAAAAATGTTTATGTTCAAGTCAATTTCCAATTTTGATGATTCCACAAAAAAAAATTATTGATATTGCATAAAATTTTACACATGTTACATTAGTAGTGTAGTTGTCAATTTTAGAAATATTTAATTTTTATTTATTGCCCTAAAAATACCGTGTTTTCTACAAGGTAGAATAAAGCCGGCAACGTTGTTTAAAGATGACCTACATAGTATTAAGTCTACTCGCGTAGGACACTCGTCTGAATTTTCGGCTCCAAAGTAGGTTTATCTTGCTAATACATACTTAACTTTTTCACGAAGACAACTATGTTTGGGATCAGTAGTCGTTTAATAAGAATATTATATAGTAACCATACCTATATAAATTATCTCGCACGCCCAAAGTACTTTATGTACAATATTAAAAAATGAGATTAAAAACCAAAACGCTAAAGTGTCCATTTGGATACTTTCTTACATAAAAGTACAAACTTAATATATTAGAGGTCTCACAAAAATATATATTAAGTAATACAATTGAATTGTAAAAGTTAAAATATTGAAGTAAATTCCAGTGAGATATAAAAATGTATTTTGTCTAACTTGATGGAAATTTAAAGTTGTTAATGAGCACATATTTATATCGTGGCAGAGTTCATAATTAATATACGTATATTCCGATCATATCGCACAAAGGATTGGCTCTATTATACCTATATACTATACTTAATCGTAGTTTATCATGGTGCAATGTACTGATGTTCAGGTATGCTTAAAATTTGGCACTTACAAAATAAAACTATTTCTAATAATGTCAAGCACTTAATAGATATTTCTTCATATAAGTAGTTGCCTAGCTTTGGTCATATATTTTTGTGGCCAGTGATAAGGTTCTGGTTATCTAATATTAAAATGTTCTGTTTTACCTATTTATAACACATTCTGATTGTCAATAGGTGAAATAGCTCGAATTCATTATTTCAAGTTCGTATTATTCTTTTAACTAGTAAAATCGTCTTCTAAATTAACATTTCGACAGTAACAGGACTTACGACCAGGTATTTATATGTATGATCCATAGTTTCGCCACAACTTATTCTATTACTTTTCTAGAAATGATATCCATATATTAAGTACTTAATATTACTAATATAAGATAATTAAACATAATGTAATAGATAAAGTATGAATGATTATTCACTTGGAACTGAGCTTGCCTGCACATTTGTTAATTAATTATAAAGAAATATTTTCCTAATGGCTCATAATAATATGTTGATGTTGAAGTGACATAGATAGTTTTCCAAGGACAGTTCAGAATGTAGCATACACATGTTGAAATTACTGACGCTAATATAGAAATTATCCTAACAAGACCACAATACAAGGAATTGAATAAAAAATGAGAGAATAGTAACTTTCCATTCGCCCCATTAGCGTAAAGATTTAAGTGTGGAGTTCTTGTGGTCTTGATGTTAATGTTATGTCACATCTATTTTTCTATCTGAAATTAGAAATTAAATTTCTACATAGTAAATAATGACAGCAAATTGTTGTATAGAAATCACATAGAGGTGTAATATAAATATTGTTGATATTGCTTACGATGTTGTTTCATTTATAACATTCAATGATAACGTTTGAAAATCTACTTATTTGTTTTTATTCATTAAGAAATCTACTAATTCTGAATTATAAGCGCCTATAAGAATTACACAATAGTCAATAATACACTCTTCAGGGTTTTATGATTAGACTTCAGATAATGGGAATAATGGAGTATTTGTCTAGAAACCATTTTGAGTGATAATAAAAGAAACTTAATTTTTCATGTAAAAATGTGTATTTAAAACTCATTTTTCATATTTAGTTTAACAACTTGAAATAAGATCTCTGATTAACTTTATGCAAAATGATTGCATAAATACACAGTACTACTCCATAAATAAAAGGGTAACTATAAATATAAAATAAATAATGTTATAAACAAGTAAAGAAATATTTGAAGTTATGAGTAACTAATCACTATTTTCAATCTTATAAATACTACTAGCTTCTGCCCAAAATTATGTAACATAACTTCACGCCTTTTATCCCTGAAGGGGTACGCAGAAGTGCACATTGTGCCACTGT